ACTTTTATAAAAGTTACGTGTGGATTTTGAGTCACTCACATTAGTATAGATACTGAGATTGGATCATAAAATTCCACTGTTTATTAAGGGAATCTCTGTGGTTGACATTTCATTTCTTCATTTATTCTTCCATCCATTCATCTGTTAAGCATTGATTGAATACCCCAACATACCAGCACCATGTTAGTTGATGGAGGTACAGAAATGAATGGGACATAGCTTGTCTCCTCCAGCAGCTGGTGTTAACCAAGGTGTGTGTAGCAAGGAAAAACTAAGGTCTATTGCATGTTTTTTTCTCCTTACTTCCGTGCTAAGAACCCTAAGGAATTCAAGATGCTTTTAACACAATGGAAGAAAATGCAGGAAACTGGATGATATTAGACAATTAGTGATCTGGGCAAGATGATAAGGGGGCTCCCTGTGATGAAAGAGTTGGGGGTATTCACTTCTATTGCTGCTGTAATAAATGACCACAAACTTAAACCCCAAAACCATCAAATTGATTCCGACTCATAGCAACCCCCTTTGGGTTTCCGAGGTGGTAAATGTTTATGGAAGTAAATTGGCCAGCCTTGCTTGGGTAGAATGGCTGGTGGGTTTGAACCACCAACCTTCTGGTTGGCAGCCAAATGCCTTAAGCACTGTGCCACACAAGTGCAGTCTTTGTAGTGCTGAAGGCGTTCTTACTGGGGTAACATTAAGATGCTGTGTGGCTGGGTTCCTTGTGGAGGCTCCAGCGGAGAACCCATTTCCTTGTCTTTTCCAGCTTCTAGAGGCCACCCATGTTCCTTAGCTAACAGACCCTTCCTCTATCCTCAAAGCCAGCAATGACCTATGGAGTCTTTCTCATGCTGCGTGCCCTGACAGTCTCCCACCTCCTCCTCTGACTGATAAGGAGTCTTGAGATTACATGGGGCCCACCCAGATAATCCAGAATATTCTCCACATCCCGAGGTCACCTGTTAGCAGCCTTAATCCTATCTGTGACTTAATTCTCATGTACCTACCATATTAACAGGTCCTGGGGGTTAGAACATGAACACCTCTGAGCAGGACATGATGCTGCCCACCCATGCTGTAGAAGGCATGGCTCTGTGCTTCTGTCACAGATGGGAGTCAGTGCAGGCTGACTGTTTCAATACTGTCACCCAAGAGGAGCACGGTGCCTAAAGTGGATAGCACTCAGTCGGATATAGTAGTCTATAGACTACTCATAGATGCCAGCTTACTGCCTGAAGGGTTTCACCTCCTGGTCTTCATATCTCTGTTTCTTCTGATGGGAACTCCTTTCTCCATCTTCTCCTACCATTTGTCCATTCTTCAAGGACTTGATCTAAGTGCTCCCTCTCTCTCCATGTCTTCCCTGAGTGACCCCATCTGGAAGAAGGTAGATGCAGGATGGGTAGAGAAGGTCCAGATATAAAATAATAAGGGTTGTCTTGGGTTTTCCCTGAGGCACTTATTACGTATGTGAGCTTGCACACACCCTATGAGCTCTAAATGTTAGCTTTCTCCTGTTTAGATGGAAACCAGGGTGAGTGCATCAAAGATTTGCTGTAAGGACCCAATAACATCATGCATGTTGTGAAAGAACCTGTGGCTTATGGATCTGTGATCTGTCAGGGACAAAAGGGACTTCCCAAAGGGTGTAAGCTGTTTGGTGAGGACATGGCCCATGT